CTGCTAGGGCTGGGGAAAGAAATCTGTCTGAATGAATACTTGATCTATTTCTACAAAAGTAAGTGCAACCCTGAGTAAAAGCCACATATCTCAAGAGGACATTTGTTTTGCCCAGCTGCTGTTGGACAAGCACTTGGAAACTGACTGAAACACCACTGCCGTTTTAAATGAAACAAGTCACACATAGCAGCAACTCAAAGCAGAATAGAGTGATGCTCATATACATACACACTTGCTCCCCCCACCAGCGTGTTAGGCATATTAACACCACATGTGGGAAATCAGACTTTCCCTTATTCGGAAATTCTACATTGCACAAACAGTTCCTTTTACAAACATTTGTTCTGACTTTCAACATCTGAGACTCAGCCTCAACTCTTTTACACTTCTAACAGGAAAGAATAATCCACAAACCATGTTGCAATTTTGCTTCTCATGTTTTCTTCTAATGTACTCAAGAGTACCTCACTTGGCAACTGTAATCACTGCATAGCTGCATCTGATTTATGGCAGGCTTCCTCCTCCATATTGTCTTACCATCACCAAGAAAGGACACACAACCTTTCATCATCTGACAGCGTCTTGAAGCAGAGCTTTTATGCATTGTAAATGCATACTGGACAATGAAGGCCTAATTTGTACATCTCTATTTTTGGAATTCTGATCAGCAAGCAGCTATGTGCACGGTACAGCAGGATTTCTATTTCCTTACAGATGTCCCAAAGACAGAAAATACTCATGACTGATCTGAGGCACTATAAATTGAAACCTTTGAGTCTGACCCACCTAGAGGGTAAACTGAAATGCCATGAGTGGAAATAAAGGACTTACATACAACTTCAGCATTGTATTGGGAACATCTGTGACATGGAATGTAAATGGGCTAACTTAAAACATTAAGACTTCATAAATTTAGGGATGACTGTGCAAATCAAAGATTCTGTGACCTCTCTCATAGCTTGTAGCTCTAGTACACCAACAAAACGGCTGCTGAATGCTTATGCTATGAAAACAGAAATAAATTGAAAAAAATTAAATTAGAATACAATTGTAGGTAAAACCGAATGATTTTATTAAGATTTTCAGCATCTTTGAAACATTACAAGTTACTGATGACCAGTATGGCCTGTATGGATTTGTATTTACACAGCTTTTCCCTCACACTTGACAGTCATTTACTTCATACTTCTAATCATACCTCATCCAAAGATTATAAAGATCTTCACTCACAGCTTCTTTTATTCTGAAACACACTTAATACCTTGGCTGGATCATGCACAAAAGATCCATTGTCATTTTTTGCACTTTCTGCAAGGCTACTTAAAAGTTTGCGGTGGAAACATTGGCTAATTCCTTAAAACATTGCCTCAAATGTACTTTTAACAAGTAAAGTGCACAGTTTGCTTCAGATAGTTTGTGAAATTCAAGCTTCCTAATCAGATAGGCAACACTCATAACTAGAAACAACTTTAAATATGCAGGACTGGTGAAAGAACACAGGTCTGAGAGCTGCTGCAATCTTCACTCCTTTAGAGAGCTTTGGGTGTAGAGGGTTGTCTACAGGTTTAGACACAGATAAATAGAAACACTTGCCATTGACAGGTTTGTTTGAGCACAACTATTTTATAGTAGTATCAAGTCTAAGTGTCTATATGGGCAAAGATGTCAAAAACTCAGTAATCATTGATATGAAGTTGTTGGGACGCCATCATGTTAAGCATGATGTTCGTAAATACATAACGCAAACAAAAACGCTTCAAAGAGGAGTCCTAATTTAGCTTAAACAAATATACAAGAACAAGAGGAAAAAAAGGGAATTTAACCTAGGGAAATGTGGTAGCAAGGTATTCTTGTGCTGTTCTGCAGGTTTTGATTTCACCAACACTCCTTCAGAGAGGTGTGTCTGCATTCTGTGCATATTTAACTATTATCCTTCAGTCAGGCAGTTCTTCCAGAATGTATCAGTTTTGCTGAACTTTACTCTTTCCAAGAGAAAGGTTTTTCCACCCTAAAGGTGTAGTTGTCACTCACTTATGAGATTCAGATACATTCCATACTCTCTTGATAATTAGATATATAAAGCCAACTCCCATCTTTAAATCCATCATGTGATTTTTAAATCCACTCACTGTTGCAGCCGCTGCTGCCTCTAGTGCCTGCTCGTTCGGGACTGTGCTGACTTGGGCCTCCACGGGTTGCCCTTCCTGATAGTGAATGGAAGAAAAGAAGGGGAGGAAGAAAACAAAAAGAGAAAGGGAGACGAATGGAGGGGACATGGGAGGATGAAAGATGGTCAGAGAAGGGAGAGGGAGTGTCTTTAACTGAACTGTTCTTTGACTCATGTAACATCCTAAAAGCTGTCTGCCATACATGCAGGGAGAATTTTCAAGTATCCTCAGTGCACGTGTGCCAGGTACCTGTAATTTTATATAAAGGTATTTTACAGTACAGTTGGAAACCTAGAGACCTAGAGAGTATCCCAAGAGATAACCTCTCACATAGCGACTGCATAGGTCTGGAGGGGTTTGTTGTTTTTAAAAAATATCCCAACTGTTTTAATAAAGACGGCTGATAAGTTTATCAGTCAATTAAACTTACATCTCTGCTTTTACATTGTCAACCTAGCAAAGGCACAGAAATGCATCCAGTAACCAGCAAGACTGTGTTCTTGAACCAGCTGACAATGCCCAAGCCAGATGCATTGTTTTTATCATTACCATCACAGAGGTTTTTCTAAAGCAGATTTGATGCTGGATCCAGATCTGAGAAGCAGGTAGGCAATGCTTTGTCTCCCGTAAAACCCACTTGCCTTTATGCCTAGGGATGCGCAAAGAGGTTTTACAGGTCACAATACACTATGAACCTATATATCCAAGTTCAGGATGGAGAGCATAGCTTTTCAGCCATAATTAGCTTTCATATTCAAAATATAATAGTCACCCACCAAATGCTTTCTCCTTAAATATTGATGGCGAAGGACCAGGGGTTTAGCTACCAGCATCCACGGCACACACAGTAAGGCCACCACCACAAGGAAACACTGGAGCCCTTTCTGTAAAAGAAACAGTCTCAGATGATTTAGTAGCAGTCTGTGTTTAAAAAAGAAAAAAAAAATTGCTATCAAGAGGTCTTATGCAAGTAACACTGAATGACTGAATTCTCAGAGCATGTAGATGCTTCACAACATTTATCTCTCTTCCTGAACATTGACACGCACTTGCTTGACACCTGCTTGTAGCTGCCCCATCCAACAGTATACTGCAAGTAATGCTGATACTGGTTTAGATTAGGGAAAATCTAAGTGATTCTGCAGGGAACCACAATTTGGCAGATGTCCAATAGTGCTGGGAAGAGATGGCATTAACATCTTAGCTGAGCTCAGAGGCACCACATTGCAGATGAAGATGCAAGACAGTATTCCTAATCACGTTCCACTATTAAGCTGGATCCAAATGTTCTGGGGCCACAGATGACTTATGTTCAGATTGATACAAATTTCCTGTGTAAGAATCATTCCTTCCATCTTCAACATTACATAGTGTCCTGCTTTGAAAGTGATGCCAATTCCTCTGTCACTGAGGAAAATGGTTTCACGCTTGACTTTACAATTATTATAAGGTCAAAGAAAGTCTCTAATATCATGAAGCTTCTCTGTTCTTATCATTCTAGCAAGAACACGCACCTGCCCTTTATAAAGCATCTTGTTACTGGTATCACTATAGGAGAACAGAAACATGTTGATGAAATGTATTAAAAGGCTTGGTGCATCTTTTGATGTGTGAGCATCATAGGCTGTCCATTTGTAGAAAATGAGAATAACAAGGTATCCAAACAGTGATGACATGAAAATAATTTCTGGAATAAATCCAAGGTATATATTCAGTGGTTTCTTGAAATAGCTACAGAAAAAAGATGGAGAGTTTAAAATTACATTTGGTTAGCATGAGGCAGATGTAAGGAAGACAAACTTTCATTAAGTATAAGAAAAAAGACTCTAGAACAAAACTGCAGAAGCTAAGCATTTCAATAATAGCTGGGAATAAAATATCGTAACGACTTGGCCTGCATCATTATACACACGCAGACAGAAAAACTGCATTACACTCTTCAATGAAAAGGCTAAAGTAGTTTCCAAGAGAGTCTTGCATCTTAAACTAATACATACAGTCCACCCAAAGACGTCTCATCGCTCCCACTCCCCCAGAAAAATAGAACAAAGCACTTACATATGGTTGAGAAGACTCAATGTGACACCAAAGAGCATGTGGATAATGCCAAGAATCACAGACATTTTCATCTTAAATGAATTGAGGAAGGCCAGCTTATTGCTGGCAATATTCCAAATCTGTAAAAAACAACACTGAATCAGCCAAACACCAAGTAAAAGGAAGACAGAGGTGAATGTAAGAGCAGTTTTTTAAAGATGCATTTGTCACACACATCTCTCTTTGGGAAACAAGCAGCCAACCTTTTAAGACATGAATGCTTTCTTATAACAACTGATTCTACTGCCAGAGTAAGGTTCAAACTTGCTTACTTTTAAGTTAGATAAACGTTGTAGGAAAAAAGCCAACAGGCCTGTAAACTTGACAGGAAAAATTATGATTACCCATTAAAATGAGCAATTAAAGATGGTTCCAATTTTTTGCACTTGCTCTTTGATGCAGAACACGTGTATTTTTTGTATCATACATTATAGGCAGAAAGAGCAGTGTTATTGATCTAAATAGCTATGAAATGACAAGATTACTTGGAAATTTACATTTCCATGACTGACAAGAGAGACGCAACTTCTAAATTTCTCCAGGGTAAAATGGTAACTCTGTAAAGTGTCTTGTAAGTCTCATGTCAGATTTGACTAAAATGCTGCAAGATAGAAAGAATGAACAGGAAGTCCTTTCTGGTTCTCAGAACAAGTCTCTCCATCCTGAATCTACTGTCTCAGTAGGAACCAGATTAATTTTATCATTCAGGAGTATCTCCAACACCAGGTATACTGAGTTTGCTAAGGGGATGGATGGAGTATGGAATTCTTTCATACTGAAGTGGACAAGCATTTTTCTGTTTATGCAGAAGACATTCTTAAAAGACAGTAGAGGAAGGAAGAGCTCTTACTGGGTCAATGCCAAAGGGATAGGGTCCACCAAACACCCCTGGAATAGCAGGGTTCAGCTGAAGCAGAGGGGTAGTCTCAAGCAGTTGCTCTCTGTTTGGGTACAAGTAGGTTATTCAGACATTAACACAAACAATTTTTACCTCCTTCTTTTAAAACTACTAGCATCCTTCTCTTGTGAGGGCAGGGAACGTCTCACATTGAGAAAGCTTTGAGTTTCCTATGTAGCCATAGAGATTTGCCAAATGAATAACAAACCTGTCTGACCTGTGTCACAAGGAAAAAAGATGCAGTGGTCATGGAAATTTTGCTATGTCTGTGAGGAGAAAGGAGATAAACTGCAACTTTAAACGTTCTCTGAAAATAAGCTGGTTAGAAACTTGATAGATATCAGACTTTCACCCATCTTCCAATTCTACTTGAGGCTGAGTTCAAAACTTTTTTTTTTTTCCCCCCCTGAGTTGGGAGGAAGATGTGGAAAGATAAAATACTCTTATCAGCGTCACTCTTTATTTAGTTACTAACTGTTTACTCACGACCAATTGCTTTTTAAGAACATCGGCCGGACGCTCCATGATGAACCAAACATATTAAGAGACTTGGAGAAGCAGTCATTATAGATGAGGCCCGTGTAAGTGGAGAACAGTCCCATTAGCAGAATGATGTATCGACCACTAAAAACAGTGTTGAACATCTAGTAGGAAAAAAACCCAACAAAGTCCATGAGAACAAGGTCTCTCAGAAAGACGAACAGTCAAATTGGTTAGTTTCTAGACAAACAATATCGGCCATATGGACTAGAAGCATGAAGTCTCTGTTTTCTCATGGCAGGGATTAGGGGTGCAGGAGGTAGAACTGCAGGAACAGAACCGGAATACAGAAGATGAATGACAAGTATTACTGTTTGTGGAAAAATCTGGGTTTGGCTGAACAGGAAGCACTGCACTCCACACTGATGCAAACCCCCACACAGCAGTATTAGTTTGGAACCAGGCAGAGCAGATTGTTCCAGCTTTCTCCATGCTCTGTCAACGTATCTTAATTCTGCTTTACCTCCTATCAGCCTAAGCTCTGAGCAAGTAAGACCCACTTACATCAGCAAATGGGAAGAATCTTGGGAAGATGTGTGTATGTGTATGTGTGTATATTGTGTGTGTGTGTGTGTATATATATATATATATATATATATATATAAATGAATGAATTAGGGATTATGCAGTGACAAAAACTCTTCACAGTCCAACTGGGTTTGGGCAGATAGGCTGTTGTAAATTAATCCTCTAACTAACCTTGAGTAATTAATTTCCTTCAAACATCTGAAAGGAAAACCAAAAAGAACTCACTATTATTACAAAATGATGCTGCTCAGTCTATGGACTGATCTATGGACTCGTCAGTCTGTCTGTGCACTTCACAAATTCCAAATACAAGGAGCAATGGCATTCTCAATTCAAGAGAGGGAAGACGTGAGTAACTGCTTTAAATGCAAAGCTGAGTATGACTTGTCTCCTTACCTCATTGTCACTTTTCTGTGACAGAATACGACTTTCCCTAAGTACCATCCAGACAGCGATCAGAGTCATCAAGATTCCATGGCCGAAGTCTCCAAACATCACAGCAAACAGAAATGGGAAGGTAATGATTGTATATGGTGCTGTAAGAAAAAAGACAGCACTCCTAGTGTACTGCAATTGAGTAACCCAGATTTACTTAAGTAAAATTTCTGCAATTTAGCCATATAATTCCCAAGTTTATCCCTTGCTTCTGAGCGGGATTAGCCTCCACCATAAAAGCCGTCATCTTTTCTCCACTATTAGGGCCACAGGACTTTACTAGCTACTCTGTTAGTACTGAGGGAAATAGATTCTCCATGCTTAAAGATGTGCATCTGTATTCCTATGCAGCCCCCTCCCCCCACCAAGATCTACTGCAAGTGCTGACCTGCATTGTCCCCAGCACATCCACTTTTGCCAGACTGCCAAAAAGGGCAGAAGACAGCCACCAAGCCTAATAACTTAAGACTGAACAAAAACAGAAAAAGAAAAACCACACGTACACTCTTTTAAGAAACAACAGCAAGCAAGAAAGGATTGAAAAAGCACAGATCTCATTTATCTCAAGGACAGAAGCTTTTTCTCCCACTGCCCAACTCAACTGTTTTCTAGGTTAGACTTCAAAGTTTCATCTTATGGTTTTAGTTCATCAGGTCTTGCACATTAATATACAACCTCAGTGACTAGAAAGCTTATTTATCCCCCTCCATGAAAAAAAGAGGGCAATGAAACTGTCCAGAAAGGACATTCAGCAGCCTTTAGACACAGCTGATGATTAATGCCTATAAAACGACTGAGCTAGGTCTGACTTGAGATGGAGCAAGACAGGCACTTAAGAGTAAAGTGGCATTGTAAAAGACTGACTGCTCTAAAAAAGGTCTCCAAACCTCATATTCTTTGATACTGTTCAGAAAACACTATATGGGGTCACCAAAGGTTGCAAGACTTTTTGCAGAAAATGTAAACTGTAAGAAGACAGTAAACTCAGAAACAAAGACAGCACACAAAATCATGCACGCATTAAATTTTAGTAAGTGTAATTTAGTCCTGGGAACCAAAACACAGACTTGCTCCGAAGCAACGGGGAACTGGTACTGTACCCTATTAACCCGAAACTGAAAGCATTACTGGTGGTCAGTATTTTGGCTGAACAGGATTACTTTACTTCAGGTTTTTATGAAATCAAAACAACCCATGCTAAAAATGGTGTAGTGGGCTGCCTTCAGAGTCTCGGGCATCAAAACTCAGAACCAGTGTCTCACCCGGATCTGCCGGGGATCTCCACAAGGGTGTCATTCAACTGTAAAAATGAGAACTAACAAGCCTGCTGTGGGAATACGTTCCATAAGCAGTTCTCTGAAACTGAGCAAGTAGAACTTTGCTTCAAGCCAGTTATAAAGAAAGGTGCTAACTGCACCATCAGAAAACTTTATATAGTACAGACAGTAAGGCAGACAATAAGGAGAAATACCATGACTAAAAAAGCTATATAGATTTTTTGGACTTTTATACGTCTGAATTTACCTGGATTTATCTCCCGGTAAGTTCCAATGCCGTAAGCATCAACTATGTTTTGAAAGCCAGAAGTAAACTTGTTAGTTTTATTGTATGTTGGTGGGGTCTGATTGGTTTGCATCCTGTTTAAAATGGATGGGACAGTGGATCCACTGTGTTCCTGTTTACAAAAAAGCAGGATTAGAAAATCCATCCTCAGAGCAGTGGAGGACAGAATAAATAGTTACTTTCTTGTTAGCATTTGGAAAACTATGAGCTTGCATCATTGTAGTCTGCATGATGAAGAAATATACCTCAGCAGCGGAAGGTTTGCCAACTTCCACTGTTCTCTGTTTGATATAGGAGGAAAAGGTCTCAGAATAAGGCTAAGCATTCTCTGATTAGGACAGATATGCAAGCTCATACAAGATTATTTTTTAAACAGCAAACGAAAGAACTTTCAAGACACCCAACTCTATTATCTATCTGACTAAAGAGTGAACTTGCTAATGTCCTGGATA